AGTTCTAACGAAAATGATTGAGGCTCGAAGCCGTAAAACTAATATTTAAAAAACTGTGCGAGATTTCAAGTGTTCACATTGAGATTTCGTGTATGTCCCGGAGGGGTGAAAATTTTGAAATGTTCCGGGAGTTCTGATAGGAGTTTTAGGTAGCACCTCACGAGTTCTAACGAAAATGATTAAGGCTCGAAGCCGTAAAACTAATATTTAAGAAACTGTGCGCGATTTCAAGTGTTCACATTGTGTATGTCCCGGAGGGATGAAAATTTTGAAAAGTTCCGGGAGTTCTGATAGGTAGCACCTCACGAGTTCTAACGAAAATGATTAAGGCTCGAAGCCGTAAAACTAATATTTAAGAAACTGTGCGCGATTTCAAGTGTTCACATTGAGATTTCGTGTATGTCCCGGAGGGGTGAAAATTTTGAAAAGTTCCGGGAGTTCTGATAGGAGTTCTAGGTAGCACCTCACGAGTTCTAACCAAAATGATTAAAGCTCGAAGCAGTAAAACTAATATTTAAAAAACTGTGCGCGATTTCAAGTGTTCACATTGAGTTTTCGTAAATGTCCCGGAGGGGTGAAAATTTTGAAAAGTTCCGGGAGTTCTGGCAGGAGTTTTGAATAGCACCTCACGAGTTCTAAAAGATATTTCGTTTAATAGTTATTGCAAATTTTGTGATCTCGTTTTGTGAACTTAGCACCCCAAAAACTCGATATCGATGTTTTTGCCTATTTTTGCGGAACTTTTAATAAAAATGGTAGAGAACTATAGAACTCAATGAGGTGCAATGGGAACTCAAGAGAAATTTGAAGTTTTAAAAAAATGAGGTGCTAACGTCACAGACGTCCGGTAGATCGAAAACTGTGGTTATCTTGAAAACATTTTAAGTTGAAAGATCAGGATGTGCAGCCTTTAATATCTGTATTTTAAAGACCCCAACAAAATTCCTAATAAAGCACTAAAATATTAACTCTTAAAAATGTTGTGAATTTCCAACAAGGAAATAAATTTCATTTCAAAATTTATTAATATGTATTTTAAGTAATACAGTTCACAATATTAAAGAATCTGAACTGTAAATTGTTTTCTGTAAATGTGAGCCAGAATTTTTGTAAATTACAGCACTCTTGTCAGCAAGGTTAAACGGATCGAATCGACAGTTTCTTGAAAGTAAACTCTCAGTCGCTACAACACTTACCAATTACCATATCGTTATTTTAAGCAAATAAGTTTTTTCATGATAATATGGCACACTTTTTTTAGTCTTAATGGTCAATCAATTAAATTTGGGGTTTTTAAACCAAATTTTTAGAGTAACACTTTTCATAATAACATTGAACTAGTAAAATTGATTACAAATTCAATTTTTATTTAATAAATAGGATACTTACCGTATTAAGGGGATAATTCCGTGTGAATGATTAAAAAAAGATCGATTTTTTTAATTTAAATTTCATCCAAATATTGTGTAGAATATGTAGGAAAAGTGATTACAACGATGAACAGGTACACTGGACCCATACACTTGTGCTTGGGTTTTTTGTCTGAGTCCTTAGCAAACTCAGGTCCAATATGCGCAATAGAAAAGGATATAAATCGTCAAGTGCAATGAGTGGCTAAGTTGCCGTGTATTTTAGCAAAGCAAAAAATTAGAAAATGACTACCATAATCTGGAAACATAATACGTTGAAAAATATACCAATAATTCAAACGAGATATTAAAAGTTAAAACAGAAGATTCAAACAAAATGTTTCCAAACCATTATTATAAACGTGTTCGCCCATAAAATCTGCATGTCATTCATTAACAACTTCATGCAATATACAGGGTGTCTCAGCGAGACCGGTCATTAGACGTTTCTAGGGTCCTGGCGAAAATAAAAATTTGAGAATTCAGACTGAAGTATTATTAATTACGATCTCTTCGACTAAAATATTTTCAGATTTCTTACACTTCCGGTTATACCGGAAGTCGCCACCTACTTTATTTTTTTAAATGGAACACCTGTATATTTTTACATATTTGGATTTGTCTGTTTTCAAGGTTTATAAATTACTTTACTTTTTGCAATTTGATTCGGCCGTTCTCGAGTAATTCGAATTTTTCTAGAAAAATCTGCTCCGTCAAGACATTTGTTCAAAAAATCAGAGAACAATCGATTTTTGGGATATCACTTTAGGATTCAGAACATGCTTAAGCAACATGATGGAGTATGTTCTGGTGCCGAGAACGGCTGTCTAGAACGTTTGGTCACTTTACTATGGCACGTTAACTTTTCAAAATTTGGAAGTACCATAACTTCATTTTTTTAAATGGCACCCCCCATATTTTATTACTTAGTCGTCTTCGGCGTCTCATTCTACATCTTTTATATCCCATATGTCCCATACCTAACATTAATAGTTTGGGAGATAATTAGGGTTTTTTGAAAAATGCAC